CATCCGAATGATGAACTTCATTCATTTCTACAGTAATATTAGATCCTCCATCGACATAAATACCTGCTGCACTAGAATCATATACCGAATGAATGTTCCACACTGTATTATTAGCACATCGACCGGAACGAGCTCCAAGAGCTCCCATACCAATTTCTCCACCTATCAAACAAAAAGAAAATCAATGTAATAGATAAATCCGATATCACATTATAGAAATGAAACATGAGAATTCATTCAATCTTCTTTACTATTCATTCGAAATCTTAACATACAACGAGACAAAGTTTTTCGTAAATATCAATGATTTTTTCATTACATGAAATCAATGAAAAACAAATCGTTCATTTATAGAAAAGTTTATTCTTGTCATGTTTCAGTGTCTAAAATGACTCAAACAAAAAATGAACTATTTCAGTACATACCAATAAAGTCGATGCCAATGTTGTTCATATTGTAGACACGATTGTTTGTTATTTGAAATTGTTCAACATTACCATTGAGAGTTAGAGCTTCACTCCAAGCTGGTTGACAATCATGTAATGTACAATTATCAATAATCAATCCACTACGACTTTTTGTTTGATCTTTGTTATAAACTGTAATTGCCATAGCTCCACCTGTTTCTCCTCCACCACGTATATGATGAATAAGTAAATTACGAAGCTCTTCAATATACAAGAAAAAACATACCTTAAGTTTCATATACAGAAAGATATTATTTCTATGGCATCTGTTCATGTCTTTCGAAAAGAGATTATGAAATTTATTAGTGGTATGAACGATAAAAACCCCTGGGTGCTCAGAAAAAGGGAGTGTTGAATGAAAGTTGTAAATAAAATGCTGGATCATCAAAGGATTTCGATTTCTATTTTTAAGTATATTTGTGTTAATGAGCAACATCTTTTATCATTTAGTTTTATCTCTTGAAAAAAAGCGGGGTGTGGGTAAAGAATGATTTTTGATGTAAATCTTTTTGACTCAAAAGACATCAACTTTTTGTACTCATAATTACACTTTGTATTCCTATGATTTTAGTTGTATGAAATTTGAAATAGTTTGAATATTTTATTCGCACACATGAACAGAATAGATAAAACCATACCAATCTGTGTGCCACCACCAACGATTCTGATGCCACTACATTCTGTTTTTGTTAAATTTGTCAATTCAAGATTGACAAAACGTAAATAGCTCTTGTTCTGCATATAAATTAAATTCAATGTTCCATCAGATGATGCAACTGTGGCACGTGCACCTGAGATAATCGGTCGAATATTTGGATTTAAACTAGTGAATGTAATTGGTCCACTTGTAGCGTTGCCTTGGACAAGTATTGTCACTGTTTCATAGTAAGTTCCAGGACCAATATAGACAGTAGAACCAGGTGTAGCCTTACTAGCTGCCTTTTGAATAGTGCGCCATGCATTTGATTGAGTCGTTCCTAAGTTTCCATCATTGCCAGATATAGTAACATAATATGATTGTGCTGCATCTATTAGTTTCAATGTAAAAAATTAGTTCAATTAAGTGAAAACAAACATCACTAGATATTCTTCTCTAGGTTTTTGAATATGTATATGTTCCTTTACCTGCTGAAGCAGATAGCCAAATGATGCAAAGACCAATGACTCCTAGGTGTGTGTTCATGGCAAGGCAGAAAATAATTTAATGTATGATGCAGTTTGGTATTTTTTCTGCGTATTTAAATAGGTTGCTTTTCGTTTTATTTTATAGTATGTTTTGATTGTATTCTTAAAAAAATATGTTTTTAAGAAAGGTAGATATTTGTGAAGCATTACTTTTTAGAGCAATTATTAACAATGAAAACTGTCAAGTGCTGTAGCAATTATTCATTTTACGTCACAACGAAAAAATCGTGCAGTTGATTTCAAACATTAATCACAGTGTTTTTTTGTTGCTATTAGTTTTAGTAAACTTGATTACCTTATCGTTAAAATAGAAAATAGAACATTTTTATCCACCGTTCGATCGTACAATAACGAATTAAGTTTTGTAACTATCTCTGATTTCGATCACAGTACATATACTATGATTTGTTTGAAGATAAATTTTGCAATTTTTCAATTACTTGTCCAGTTCATCCTCTTATAATGACCAATGCCTACGAACGAAGAGCCGTGGTTTTCAGAGGAAAGAAGAGAAAAACATAGCTAGGGATGAAACTTCACACTTATTTTGCTTCAGCGAAATAAAAATAAGTCAATGAGTGATTGTTATTTTCCTATTTTCTACCTCATAATTTAATATTTATGATCAGTGAAGGGTGTGGACGTTAAACTTATATTCATTGTCATCCACACCCTACACCCATAAAACAGATCCATATCCATGGAAATGGATGTTTACAGTTGGTATTGTTCTTGCGTGTTGCTATTTAATAACAAATACATTTTATGCTAAAGAATTAAAAAGAGAAAATGTTCAATTATTGTCTATGCTTGGTACACTTGATATAGTTTATGGTTGTTTATTACAATATATATTTTTTCGACTCACCAGATCTTGGATGTTTTATATCGGAGCTTCATTTATTGTTACATCAGCGATTATACTTTCAATAGATACTTATCTAACGAACAAGAAATCAGAAAAAAGAGAACCAAAACAATAATATTTGATGTATTAAATTAATTTTTTTATTGATTAGCTAAAATAAAATTCCCTATATTTAGTGATTAATTATTCCTATGAAATAAGAATTGTCGTAGAAAAGTTATGATTAATTTAGAATGATTTATTTATTATACTTCTATAAATTCTTAACTAAACTAAAGAATGATAATAATTTATCGTTTATATACAACACGAATTCTATTTCACAAAAAGTGACTAGAACATAATGCATTATTGTTTTTTTTTTATATAAAAACAAATGAAATATTTATAATAAATTAAGATTTGTTATATTTCGTCGTTTAACAAAAATGAATGCAGTATTATTGGGTAATGGACGTTGTGGCCACGATGTTTGTGTTTTTAACCTACGTTCAATAAAGTTAATACGATATTGAACTTCTCTAAATTTCCTCATAAAATATGTTTGTAACCATTCTGAACCAATATCAGGTGTAAAAAAAAATACACAGACACGTTGAAATGCAGTAATAAAATAAATCATTTGATCTTCTAAATAAATTAATCGTTGTAAACATTCTTGACTACGTTTATAATGAATATAATTTTGACGAAGATGAATATCTGTTATAAATAAACGTACAAATGACATTGTTTCTTCGTATTGACGAAGTAATGTATCGTATTGATACATTATTTCATACATTTCATGACCTAAATATCACAGAAAAAAAAATTCAATAAAGGTTTATTAGAAGATTCCTTTTTCTTTCTTGATGTTCGTTTTATTTAGAATTAATAATTGACTCAAGCGCGAGAGAAGAGAGAGCTTTATATGAGAGAAAATAAAGCATCAAGGAATGTGAGTTGAATAAACAAATATTGATAAGAACGAAATGAGTCCAGGAATAGAACATGTGACTGTAATAAGGCTCTATTAAAATTTATAACAAACAAATCTAATCTCATTGCTATAGAATTAAAATTTTATCTAAGCAATGATCTTTTACCTGGAAATGAACACGTTATATAAGTAACTTGCATTGATTTTTCCCACAATGGCATTCGGTCACATCCTAATAGTGATGTTGAAATAGTTATATTTTTCTCATAATCTATATAACCATAAACAATTGTTTGTAGTGCATATGCAAGTGATGGTATTGATGATGGTAGAAGTTCACATAATGAAAGCATATGATCATATCGAGACCAACCAGTAATGACAATACCAGCAAAATTAACTTTATGTCGATTTGATGCAATATACATTGCTTCAAGCCATGTTTGTTGATTACGTTGATGATGAGCAATATAACTCATTGTTGTTGTTTCACCAGATGAACCTTTAAACGAACTAGCAACCCATACTTCACGAAACATTGAAAATCTATACAAAGAAAAAATTTATGATAAACAAACATTCAATAATTATTTCGTAGGTTTTTAATCAATTAATATTCTTACTTCACCCAGAATCCATCATCAAACCAAAGCTTAACATCATCAACATAAGTCCATATCATAGGTACAATAAGTTCAATTAATTCCGTAATCTATGAAATAAAACGAACATATTGATTTGTATTAAATATATTTAGAGTATATCAATACTAGTGGCAATAGGACTATAATACTGTATAGAAAGCTCAAGAAAATTTTCTATTTGTACACATAGAGCGTCCAAACAATGCTCTATAGTTCTATCATATCTCACTATCTTTCCCATTGATATAATAATATGAGAATTTCGTTCAAAGCTATAGGCAAATTTTTTCTTTTACATTTAAGTGTATACTGCACTACATTTCCTTATCGGCGATCAGATTTCACCTTGAAAAATGCTTCAAAGATGATATGCATGGTTTCATGAAGTTCAAGAACATGTTGAAAATGATGCAAGATTCAGTAAATTTGTAACCAAACAACTTGTTGTCTTTTTAACTTCTTTAATGCATTATAGACATACTGCCACTATTTTTCGTATGTCTTAAGTAAATTGACAACTTACGTTATTATAACCTGAATTAACCAATTGTGAGAGCATATCATGCCATATGAATAATTTAATATCCGGACGTTTTGATTTAATGTACTTAGCAACACGAGTTACATGTCTACAAAATTAGAAGAAATAAATCAAAAAAATTAAATAAAATTAACATTTTCAAATGTGAACAGAAATATTTATTAACTGGTGATATCATCAAATAAAAAAAATTATCATTACAAATAGAATGTTTAATGTACGTATAGTGACACATTCTTTATTTTTTACATTTTGAGTTCTCAAACCTTAAATATGCATTTGCAATTAGGAACTAGTATTAAACAAATTAGAACACGTTGTTTTCTTTATTAAAGCGATATTGGAACCAATAAATGAAATAATTATTTTTTTAATTCTACAATAGATAATCTGGTAATATTAGAAAACAACGTTTGTTCGAACAATGTCTGTTTGAATCTCATCATAGACGACATTATCATACTCATATACTTATTATTCTTCAATCATTCTTATGCTCATGACATTTAATAAATTCAGTTTTTACATCAATATCTAATAGAATAAAGATGATTGATGTTGAAAATAAAAAAATAATTTTCCATTAGTTTTTGTTATATTCAATGACATTTATATTTTCTTAATGAATATGCACATTTTTTTGGTCGATATTTATATTCGAAGGAAAAGTGTCAATATTAAGTACAACATTTAAAATATTATATAGTGAATAATAGAGATAAAGATCAATTCTTTTTATGTATGCTACACTTAGACATGTAGCAAACTCAAGTCGGCACCAAGGAACTCAAGTTATCCCAGTCTGACAATTAATGTGCTGAAATAGTCATAAAAAAGATTCAATTATGCCTCGTGACAGAAAACAATATATACAAAGCTTCATGTTGTGGATGAACTAAGATAGAGCTGAATTGAGTCCAAATAGCTCACGAGCGGTATATGCCTATTTATGCTGATGAAAAATATTTGGATAGATTTAAAATTATTTCATAGTTTAAATTTTTAATAAAACTAAAAAAAAAACAAAATTATACCTGATAAAAAGATCTGCATCATCACGAAAATTCAGACTAGCACACTGAGGATGAACAAGACGATAATAAACTTCATCACAACCCATATGAAAATAAGGAATAAATGGATGAACAGATAATATTTGATCGATCATTTCTAGAAAAGAAAAGTTTCTAAGATTTAATGATTCATGAAAGTTACTTTCTTGATTTTAGGATGACACTTTCACTACATTGTAGTGATTTTTGTTAAGTCTTGTAAAATTGAGTTTTATATAATCAATCAATTTTGAAATACTAAAATTTATCACTTGAAATCTTGAAAACGAGACTGTACGTATTGATAATTTTATAAAGATGTCCTGGTTTCACAACCGAAGCTAATTGACGTTTGGTAGATACTTTCACATTACAATTTTCAAACTTTTATTTTATATGAAAATGTATATTATTTAGTTTCTTCGATAAATATCAACAAAAAAAAAAGATCATCTCAGATTCAACACAAAATCAAATGAATTAAGACTCACTTGATATCTTTCTGCTTCTAAAATTCGATCAAGATGCTAAACGTCATAATTATGAATACATACATGAATGTTTTTTTCATCACGAAAATAAATACATGTTAACCTTTTTTCCGATAATGCATTTTCCTCTCCATGTATACAGTTACTTCATCGTGTTTTATCATTATTTCTAGATGAGTTTTCATTAAAAATGAATTCTTTTCGTATAACATTATCGCTTTTTATTTATGTGACCTGTTCTCAAATACAATAAATTTCTAAGATTTTTGCTTCTATACTTTTATATACATATGTAGTTTAATAAAGGAAAAATATTTTGACATGTCAACGTCTCATACACTGTTGGATCGTATATCGGGCACCCAGCTCGGTTCCTGGAAACTAACCGCAATAGAACGGCGATACAGAGAATAATCGACCTTTTTCAGTATCCAACTACTGTCGGTTGATTACTAATATAGAATAGATTATACCGAACGATCTATTGGCGGTTTTTATCCTCTTTGAATCTCACGAGAACTAATAGAAATAAAGCATAAATTAATGTCACCGTATTGTGCTTAATCTCTCAATTTTTTATTATGAAATATTCTAGATTACTAGATCTCTTAATTTGAAATATGTTTTAAGTTTTAATTAGATCAAAATATAATATTCATCTATTGATAAATATAAATCTACCAATGAGATGAACAATTTAATAGTATATATTATAGCAATCATTCTAAAGAATTTTTATATTAAAATAAATATTAATTTAACATACCAAATATTAGTCTATAACTTTCTTCAAGACATGGTGTAATAACTTGTGGGTATCGTATATCTTCACGTAGATGCATAAATTCTTTTAGTTTAAGTACATATTCAAGATGACCATAAACTTGAAGTAATGGCATAACTTTTAAACCATTCATTTCAGCTAATTGTAAGAT